CGATTTCAAACCGAATTTGAACAAACTCTGATCATTACAATCACACTGTAGGTTTTACCTTTATTGTCCACTTGATGGCGCAATATTGCAAATGAGGCTCCATGAAGCTTCGAACCAACTGGATGGAACGCTTCAAGGTTTTATGAAGCTTCATCTCGCCATCTCTAATAATTAAGTATTATCATATTTTTCACCATTTTGTTTTCCAAATAGTTTTAAAAAAACAAACATATTTAGGTTATTTTTTACGCCTGTACCGACGCTGGCCTAGAGCACCGGTTTCCTAGCTGTCTGGCTGGACCAATCAAATTCCTTCACAGGCTTTAAATAGAAGGGTTTTGCCGGAAGTGATCTCTATTTTACCTGTCATCCAGGTGTGCCACCACGACACCGCTGTTCAAATGGGAGGAATATTTGGTCTGTTGTGCTTTTGCTGTTTTTTCGGTAAGTCTTGAACGGACGGGTTAATGATTTGTAACTTTTCAACAAACCGAGTGATTTGTTGAAAATCGGGTCGGTTGACGTCGGGATTTGGCTCATTGATTCGTTTAACTTTTTAAGTAATAAGAGATCTTTGCTCGTGGAACTAAACGGTCAAGTTTCAGTGCAAGTGCTTATATTGTTACTATTGTACTTGACTGTCGTAGTTAATCGCTAACTTTAGACAACTTTTAGCCTTCGGTCGCTGTCATTTTAAAAAGCTGGTTCCGCCTTGTGATTTTTATGTAATTCACAAGACAACGTTAAGGATCAGTCGTACACTTTAGAAATACTATAAAAGTGACATGTTTAAAGAAATCTTAGGCTTTATTAAAATCAAATAACTCGTCCTTTGGCTCATCTTTGATATAAGGATATCTTTTAGCTCTCAAACCGGTTATGTGGGAAATAACCCGTTTTTGTTTGCATTCTTCATTCAAACTACCGGTATGCAAAATATTAATAGTGTGAGCATCATGTAGTCAAATTTCCTCTTTTATGGATTACGTTCATGATAATGATTCACGATTTGAATGGTTTGACCAGAAACAAAGTTGGAATATGTATATTAACCCTAAAAGTATATTCAGAATCAGAATTGCTTTCATAATCCGAGAGGGAAATGATTTTTCGTTACACATTTCAGATATACAAACATTTATACTTGTGTGTAATGTTTACATATGTATCTATATTTATATATACCAATCTAAATATAGTGATAATGAAAGTCATAATTAAGGCTAATCACTTAGTAAATCTATAACAGATATAAAAACATACCCAGTCACCAAACTTTTATTTGGGGACAATAACTTCATTTTGTTTTTCCTTTCTTTTTTCTCATTAAAAAACAAACATGATGTAGTCTGACTGACAGAAATGGTTAAAATCTTAAAAGTTTACTTGGATTAGAGATTGTTTGCCTTTCAGTTCCAAACAAAAATTATTTTTTCCCACAACTTTAGTTATAAATGTATTCCCAGGTCCCTTATAAGAGTGTTTTTGCCTTCTTTTGAGTATTTGTTAAACATGTCAGCCTTTTTGTCCTCCCTTTAGGTGCAGAGTTGGTTTCCTCTCTTCCTCTGAAGCCTCCTCCATCTGCCTCCTCAGCTGCTGTAACAGGGAAGTAGTTCAACTCTGTTCTGGGCTCTCTGAAAACTTTTCTTATGCTCATTTTTTTCTGTTTATTCATGTAAAAATGTCTTGTCTTGCAGCACCTTCACCTGTTCCAGCAAATGAATCTGCCAGCCCTGTCACAGGTGACTAACCCTGTTTTTTAATACCCAACTGGAATTGAAGTGTACACTTTCTGCACTTCCTATCCAGGCCTATCAGAGCATGTTTAAAGTAGGGTTGTCACGATACTAAAATGTTCAACTCCATACCGATACTCAGGAAAATATTCGATACTCGATACCACAAGGATAAAAACAAAGACCCCAAAATGTAAGAAAATGTATGAATTTTAGTTTCTTTCATTTCAAACGTACCTGTTACTGATGTTATGGTGGCCCACATTAATAACCCTAAACCTAACCCTGAGCCTAACCCTGACCCTAACCCTAACCCTCCACCCTTCATAATTGTGAGAAATAAATATTTTTTGGTTAAACTTGTTTGGACTTATTGTACAAACCTATTTAACATCCACTATTTTAACATAATATTATGTATACAGTTTAATTCAGTGTTTGAAAGATTCATATCACTATTTTTAAATGAATGTCTATATTGCCATGAAGCAATTAGGATTTTCTTGCCTGGGATCCTCCTATTGGTGACCTAATCAAAATGGCCAACTTGGATGTGGGGGGGTTGGATATCCATCCTTGGCTTCCTGCAGACTTGATTAACTCATTGGCTGCCAAAGACGTCTATAGACGTCTTTTATGTTTTTCAACGCGAGTGGCTTGGGGGACAATCGGCTAAAGTTTTTCCGTAAATATCGGCTTCTAGACAGAGTATGTAGTAACAAATTGACCCTCTAGGGGGCAGTGCCACTTTTGATGGGAGATGAGCGTAGACTGTAGGCAAATAAGAAAAAGGGAACGGTTCTATGAGAGAACATGGCGCCGGTGAGACGCAAGTCCAGGAAGAACGGAATAAGGTAGAAACACATTTTTTTTTCCTGATGAAAGAAGAGAGTCTACTCTTTCTTTTGGTGTGTTCGGTGTTTACATAGTCATAGCACAAACTATTCTGTGGCTCTTGAAAAATCAGTCAAAATAGTAAAAAAAACTCTGACAGTTAATGAGTTAATATTGGCGTGTTATTATTAGCCATTAGCCGCAGCTAGCAATTCAAGGCTAACGTCATGTTAATGATCATAAACAACAAAAATAAATAAATCAGAGGGAAAGGGGGGCGGGTATCAATACTTTTGAAAATGAGTATCGTGTCCGGATACGTTTTGGTATCGATACTTTTGAAAACCCTAGTTTAAAATCTAAAGTTATTTATCTACTTACTTAGTTGTCAGACTCATGTTGAACAGGGATTTACTCTGATAACAACTTAATAATTAGGACACAGACCTGTGGGTTACAGATGCTAATGCTAATGCTAATCCTCTGATAACAACTTAATGGTTAGGACACACACCTGTGGGTTAGAGATGCAACAATAATAACAAAATAAGTAAGAAAAATAATTTCCCTGTGGGATTATTAAAGTATTTCTGATTCTTCTGTTGAATGAGAGGGTAGCCCCCCTCTTCATTTGGGTGGGAGGGAGGGAGCTGACTCCACCCCTCTTGGAGTCCGGGGCGGGGGGGGGGCTGATCCTTTTGGTGCTTCCTCTGGTTCTGTCTGTCTTTCTCCCACTTCTGCTCCACTCTTTAACCTCTCTGCTCTGTGTTGTTTCCTCTCTTTAGGACAGAGAATCACAGCTGAAGCTGGACAGGACTCAGTCACTCTGCCATGTGGAGCTGGAAAGGAGAAAGAGATAACCGCCTTAGAGTGGAGCAGACCTGATCTGGATCCAGATGTTGTTTTTTTGTACATAGATGGTCACTTTCATCCAGACCGCCTGCATCCATCCTTCAGGAACCGGGTGGATCTGCTGAACAGACGGATGAAGGATGGAGACGCGTCTCTGGTTCTGAAGGATTTGAAGATAAATGATACAGGAACATATGAGTGTGAAGTCATTCAGGGAGGAGGAGGCCAGAAGATGATCACCACCATCCATCTTGTGGTTTCTTCTCCTCCAGGTGTGTGTGTGTGTGTGTGTGTGTGTGTGAGAGAGAGAGCTGCAGCAGCTTCCTGCTTGTTGGTGTGAGAGGGAAACATCTCAGATCAGGTGTTTGGGTTGTAAAGATGCTGCTGATGAGACTCTGTAGAAAGCAGCTGGTCTGAGTGCAGTGATCAGAGTGCAGGAGATCATGTGGGACAGCAGTTTGGAGAGGAAATGGATTCTGTTGTTCTTCTGCTGCTGACAGCTCACACCTGCTTCTCTCCTGCAGGGACCCGGGAGGGAGGAGGCAACCAGGCAAGAGGAGACAAGGAGGGAGGATCTCTGGGTCTGACCGTTGGCCTTTTAGTTTCTGACCTTCTGTTCTTCCTTCTTACTGTTTTCCTGATCCGTGGAATAAAACGATCCAGGAGGAAGTTGTTTTCCCGTCGGGCTCTAGCAAAAGCACCAGAACCAGAGCCATTTAAAAAGCCTCTGCTTCCTCCCTCTGAGGCTCCAGCTGCTGGTTTTTCTCGGTGACTGTGTTCCTGCCTCAAAGAGCTCTCTGCTGAGCCCTTCTGGACATCTGGAGGCCTCTGCTGCTCATCCTCTGTCCAGGAGAAGCTCCACCCTCTCTGCCTGGACTTTTCCCTCCACCCGCACGGGGGCAGCTGACTCCTGGACTTTGGGGGGTGGATTCAGCCACTTGGGTTTTTTTTTATTGTGCTGTTTTTTTACAGGAATATTGTGTTTGAACATTTTAAATCAGGATTCCTTGTGTGCTTTGTAAATAATGTCTGCACCTCATATCTGTGTCATTACTGTCTGTATCCTCTGATTTCTCCGTTTATTTGTGTCTTCTTCTGGCTCTCGAGGCCAACCTGCTGCTATCTGCCCTGTTTTTGCTGCTATCTTTGTCCTGTCACATCTCAGAGCCTCTCTGCAGTTTTACCTCCTAAATCCTTAAACATCAGCTATGGATCTGGTCGGCTGGTCGCTTAACGCCGTTAACGGGATCTTTTCTAGCCAAAGACCAGCTGCAGGACATCTGGATCCTCTGTTCTCTTTTTACTGAGGAGTTTTATTTATCACTGACTGTGTGCCTTTTTACCCTCTGAGCTCTTTTCCGGATGTATCATCAGAAATAATCGGCTGTAAATGGATGGGGGCTCATGTATGTTCATGTCAGCTTTACTGAAACTGAATTTCCCTCATGGGATCAATAAAGTTTCTTGTCTTATAATAAGCAACGGATTTTTGAAGATCTTATTTACACATTTTCAACTGTCTGTGTTTAAGAGAAAAGAAACAAGCTGCATTTAAACCCAATTTTAACCCAATAAGGATTCTTTCATGTAATCTTCAAAAACAGCGGCCTTAAAATCCAAAAATAAAGTCCACATCCAGTGAATTCATTTGAATTCAGGGGCTCGACAGCTCAAATGAAATGATCATTACATTTAACATGAAATAAACCTGAAAACAGAGCATGAACAGCAGGTTGCATCAATATATATTGCATATTCCACATGGTCTTCATGTCAATAAGCTAATAATATGTTATTAAATGCATCGGTTTTACTTTGGAACAATTCAGTTTTTCAAAAGTTTTTTATTATTAGTTTTGTATTTCTGTCCAACACACACAGTTACACTAAAAACAAAATACCAAATAAAACACTCCAGACAGATCAAAAACACTGACTCTCTCCAGCTCTGTCTGTTCCTTAGCAACCAAGCGCCTCACTGACAGCTAATTCTCTGATTGGCTGATGAGCTGCATTTTCCACCAATAGGAAAGAGGCTGGCTGTTTTTCCTGTTTGTTCCTCCAGGCGAAGGATTGGTCGTTTGGACCAGAAAAAACTAATCTCTGAGTTATTCTCACAAAAGGACCGTGTTTGTTGGTCTCTTTTTAGTGATAATAAAGTTTAATAAAAGCATCTAACCTCAAAACTTTACTCTTTCTCCATTTACTGGAACTTGAATGAGTCTCTGTTCCACATGACTCACACAGACCCACAGAGGCTTTTGACTTTTAACTATGTACTATGTTTTATTTAAACGTTACACTTTCCTGAGAAACTAAAGAACAATGAATAAGGATTCTTCCCTCTTCAGACGGGGGGCAGAGAGTCTCAGCCCCCGATGAGCTGTGAACAGACTGTATACAAACTCTGACAAACCCGGAAAAGCATCTGAACTGCTGGAGGTGTAAACTGGGATTCTGACACTAGAGGGAGCCAAAGCCCCACAGAGCAAAGTCTGAACAAACACCG